CCTCTTAAATTTTTACGAAAAACAATTTCTATTTTATTGTAAGTTATAATTAGCATTAGTCAGACACACTTTTGTCTGCAACGTTTTTCTTCAAATAACTGCAAATACCTTATACATTTTTATTATCGTGTTTTCGAGATATCTTAATTTCTAATATTTTAATGCATTTTTGATTATTCATGTAAATAATTCTTTATATTAAATTTAAGTTTTGATAATCCTGTTATAATAAATAAATCTAATATGTATGTACATATGAATAATCAAAAATGCATTAAAATATTAGAAATGAAGATATCTCGAAAACGCGATAATAAAAATTATTTTTAACAATAAATACATCGGTTTATAGCCTTTCAATAAAATCCTGAACATAATTGCGCACCTATATGTAATATATACATAATTATTATAATTATTAAATAATTATCATTATCTTATTTGCAAGACTGCGTCATTTTATCTTGCGTAAAGCGGAACAGCTGAGATCGTTCTCGAAAGTTAAGTTCTCGTTCACATCAATCAAGTACTACTTTATCAAGAGAATTTTATTTTATATCAATTTCATCACGCTAATTTGCATGACGAGCCACTTGCGCGTGGCCGCGCAAAAGATTACAAATTCGAGCGCACAAATTTATGCAAACGTAGTCGGCGCGCCGCGACGCTCTCTTATGTGTAAGAGACGCGCGGCACTTTTCTCGGGAACAAAGAGCGCTGACGAGTTTGTAAACCCGCTAATTTGTTCGAGACTTCTTGCTCTCGAGCTATCGCGCGCCCTTATCGCGCGAAATATCGAACGTACGTACGTGCACACGTCTAGAATCGACGTATGTGTAAACGGCGTACATGAAAGACACACATGATCGCCCTCTCCCTCTTCCCTCACGCTTTGAAGTACTAATCAGTATCGATTTGTGCCTGCAAACCATGCACCATGTTCGTATCGCGCGCTTGCCATTCTCTCCGCTCCTTCTTTCCGCTCCGCGGATTTTCCAGAGGAAACCATTTCGTCAGAGGCGTGACTGCGCGAGAACCGACGACGAATGTCTGACTACGCACCTAGGGTAGAAATACGCGGATACACGAATGCGATAACTTCCGGTGACATTTTCGACATTGACATGCGCGATGAACGCGAGGGGCATAATTTTTTCACTATCATTATATCTTGGATAGCGACTTTAGATAATAATTTAGATAGATTTTTTTCATTGATGACTCTAGATAGATTTTTTTATTTGATTTGTGTCGAGTTTATTGTATTAAATTTTTCATTTTTTCGACTCCTTCGTTTATGAAATTCAGAAATTTTTAAATATGAAATTCAGAAATTTTTAAATATGAAATTTAGTAAAAAAAAGAAGCGAAGGGATCAGAAAGAGAAGGGATATATGTTGCCCTCAGAAATCCCGAGATTCGCGATCGCATTTGATTCGCGCCTTTCGCTTCCTAGACGTAGCATCGTGTCTCGAAACTGCTTTTTCGGATCGTTTGAAGTCGGCAATCAACTAAATTGCCTATCAACGCCTGAGAAGCCCGCTCACGCACTTCCCTTCCCTGCGTCTTCTTCCTTTTTCTATTCACACATGCTCTTCTCTTCCTTTCTCACTTGTTGGTATCATCGTTATATACCTTGCTTTTCTGCGTGAGAATCCTTCCGTGTATGTTTTCTACCTTCCTTCTTCCCCACGTGACATTATATTATATTTTTCAGGACGGAAAATCAAATACATATTTACATGGTTGAATATAATTTCTACCATGCCAGACTCTCTGAGAAATCAAAAAAGTTATAGTTTATCGTAATTTTATTAGGCTTTAAATTATGCCATAATAATTACATATTTTGTCGTTAGATATTCTTTAATTTTATTGTAATCCTTATAAATAAAAATGTTATTAATGTAATTGTATGATTAACTTTTATATATATTTAATTAATACTTTAAATATATTAAGCTTAATTCTGATCTAATTATTGGTTGTCCTTTTTTAAAGAAAGAAAAAAAAGAATATGATTAACTTAATTAAATTTAATTAATATGTGTTCATGAAAATACTCTTTAATATATCAAATCTAATCATTTAGATATTTTTAAATAAAATCTTTTATAAAGTCTTAATGTAATCCTGAATTTCGTACTTTTATAAATAATATTTCACACATTCATATATTATAATTAGTTTTCTTTATAAAATACAAAAATTTTTAGATAAAATTTTGCACTAAAATAAATAAATGTGCATAGTCAAAAATAAATTTCTTTATAAATCTGAGGTTGTATTTTGATCAAGGATTGATGTAATAAAATTATTAAAAACAGCACTCTTTGGATTTCTTCATCAATTTACGGTGTATTTACAATTAAAGATCAATATAATTGCTATTAAAAACAAATTAAATAGTTGGCAATCTAACGGTAATAAGTCTTAGTCTGTGCTCTCGTCTTTAAGCCTGTTTAAGTTTTAAGACAAAAACGAACGAATGGAGCACATCAAATAAATGCTGTGAAACGAGGTGCCAGAGTGACATTTGAATAGAATGGTAGATCCTTTGTGTGTTCTGTCTGGAACTCGACACCCGAAAATCGTTCTCAAAATTCGTTCTACGTCGCGAAATCTCCTGTTAAGTAGCGATATACTACATTAAAACTATATATACTGTGGTACCAAAATATGTTACATATCTATATGTGGATGTGTAATATGCGACGAGATAAAAATTTTAATTTATACAACTACAATTTCGCAGGTAATAAGATAATTTAATTATTAAATTATCTTATTCTCAAGATATTAAAACAGACACTATAAATGGCGTTTATTTGCATGAAATATATGATGAAAAAAGAGATTAAAATGCATTAAAAAAAGAATTCTTCGTATGCTTAAATTTATATATGCAAATTTTATTTTGATATATATAAAATTTATGTTTTTCTATGTATTTTTTTATTCGATGCTCGAAAATGTAAATATTATTTTTATATTGTAGTGTCACACATGGTACGTGCGCGCATACACGTACACACAAATAAACATGGTAATATAATTTTTAAATAGTTTAATAATAGTGTATACTAAAATTCTAATTTAATTTCAAAATTCTAATTTAATTTAATTTCTCACCTTTTATTGATAAAATTGTAATTTGGTTTTATTTCTTTGTTTCCTCATAATTTAATAAATTATAATTTGACTGTAATAATAAATAAGTAAAACATAATGTTAGTAATTATAATAATAAATGAGAATAAAACTCACACACATAATATTTAATATTTCATTACATATATTTTAATATACCAATATTATGTTTAAGATATCAATATCATATCAAAGCAAGTTGAGAACAGTTGTATGGATGGACGACCAGTTTTGTCGATGCTCTTTGTGTTTTGGTGAGACATTGCAGGCCTGCCTAACACTCAACTCATTATACCACTAATTATTCATAACGTTGAGGATTATTCTGACGAAAATAAATCAATTCCCACAGCGTTCTCACTTCTTTTCATTCCTTCTTTCTCTCTGCTCTTGATTCTAACACCATAAAAATATGCATTTCTTTTTCAAAAAAAGATTGTTTATCACACTATCTTTATTGTGTGACGAAACATTACGTTTTGTGAATAATATGGAAAATTTCTATCAAAAAATAGCCAATATGCGGAGAGAACTAATGTATATATTTATAAAATATGGAATGAGTTATTTGTTAATTATTTGTGCGCTGCAGGGGTGAAATAGTCTCAACTTACAACATGTAATAGTTCAGCTTTTCACCCGCTAAATGCGTCAATTTGTGCCCAATTTAGTGGCAAATCAACATACTCGGCAAATAAAAGTTTTCTGCTTTGATCGAGTGATGGACATTGGAGGGCACTCGGTTGGCGTTTTGTGTGTATTGAGAATGTAAGATGGCTAAGGGCAGCTGCCGATTGAATACAGTTTTCCCGAAAATTCCCTCGTATTCTTGGCGCATACAATCCCGACGGCGCGCGTGGACGTGCGACAAAGATGTGTCGATTTTCGGTAATTCGATCTTGAGTGGCTCTCTGTTAAGTGATAGCTGTAAGTGGCAGTTAAGTGCTTGTTTCATGCCAGAATGACGATACGCCTATTAATTTACTTTGACTTGCGAAGCAGAGGGTCATAAGTTCAATCTCGTTTGCAATTAACGTACAATTTATCATACAATGAATATATCGTCCAAAAAAGGATGCTTATTATAATAATAATATGTCAATTAAAATTAGCTCTTTTTATGCGATAATTATCTAGATGATCGGCTATTCCTCAATTTTTTTATTTATTTTGATTAGAAAATATATATTATATATTAAAATTTTAAATATCTTTTATGCAAATTATACTGATGATATTACAATGTAAGTAGGAGTAAACATAAATGTCTTAAATGCTTTTATTATTAATATTTATATTATGACTAGCTACTAATTCATATTTTAGTATGTTTCAGAAATTATATACAATAATTGATCGATATTTAGATATTTGATCTCATACGCATTAAATTTTGTTTGGCAGATAAAAGATAAAAACATAATCTTTTATATTCTATTATTCATATTTTTAAAGAAAAAAAAATAGACGTGGGCCAAAATGAATGATTTAGTTCTATGTAAATTAGCACACATTATTTGCATGTGACGTCATTTATAAGCGATTAATAGAATTAATCCATTGGCAATATTGATCCTGATCGTAGAGACAAAGAATCATAAGAAAACGAACTCTTAGCGACTGTGAACATTACGTTATTAGCGTATCAATTATATTGAGAAATTATTATGAAAGAAATTTTAAAATATACTACCTACGTACTTACACACAAGAGTACAAATTATAATCATTAATTAGTACAAATTATTGGCATTATTATCGTCTTTACGTAACTGAAGCTCATTCCCCCACATCGATCCTAACAGGATGATAGCCGCCAAAAATCGGAAATTTTTAAATCATCGACTTACCATGAGGCGGCGTATGCTGAGTTGGGCTATGTTGATGATGATTCGTGGTTACAGCCGTACCAGGAAGTACATGCTGCGCATGTGCCGCGGGATGCAAGTTGACGCCGGGCGGCGATGCCGGAAGTTGGCCCGATTGATGTACCTGATGATGCGGTACGTGGTGAGCCGGGTGGGGATGGGGCGGCGGTAGAAAGGCGGCCGCCACGGCCGCCTGCGCATTCAGGTAGGCCATCCTCGAGGCCGTGAGATTGCCCAGATTCCCCAGATTTCCCAGATTCCCCAGATTGCCTAAATGATTTAAGCTGGGCATGTATTCCCATAATTTCGAGTGATGAGGTGCAGCTGGAGCGTAGGAAACAGCCGAGACGCCGGCGGGCGGCGAACTTTGCGGGGATCCCCCGCGATCGGTTCCGCTCCGGTTCCCGGTGCCGTCCAGGCCCAGCAGCTCTTGAATCGCGAAAGCTGATCGTTGCTGCTGCTGCGGCATCTTCGGATCCTTTGACTGAGATCGCACGGGTTCAAAGCATTCTCAGTTACTTGTTCATTGGAAGCCAAGTGATCTGTGTCGATCCTCGATCCATGAATTTCACGATAGGCATGTAATGCGGGTGCTGACAGGCGGATATTGAGTCGAAACTGGCCAACATCAAAGTGCACATTCAAGAGAACGAACTTATCTATCCTGTCTTCGTGTGATTATAAATATTAGGTCTCCTGGGTCGTTGTTCGGTTTCTTCGAAAGATTCTTCTAACGTTCAGGAACTCGATCGAAGAGAATCGTTGTATATTTCCTGGATTCTTGATCTCGGTATTGGATTATAAATTAAGCACAGAAATTAGAGAATATGTTGCAAAATTTTTTACGAAGTTAACGCTAGTTTCAATAGGATTTGTTGCAAAAAAATTCTCAAAATGAACGTAATAACGTTTACAAATCTGCTATACTTTGATATCATTGTGCGACGATTATTGCCATACAATGTTTCATTGAAGTTACAAAGTATTTTCTTTAAGGCCGTTCAAAATTTTATTCTCTTAAAGTCGTATTACGTGCACGATTGGCATAAAAAGAGGCCTAGCGACGCATAGATCTAACAAATCATATGGCGTTTTCGTACATATTTATGAAAACTAAGCTCCTTTAATAAATATTTACAGCGAATGTGCAGTACTCTGCGATGACAGAATACGATTTATTTCGATTTATCTTCGTTGTGTTGAAAGATATCGCCAGCAAACGATTGTCAATGTTTCGTTAACCGTCGGCAATGCGAACAATAGGTTCCATCAAGTGGGGCTCGAGAAATTCTATTTTTTTTCGTTCATATCGCGACGATGTATGATTTTTATTTGCTTTTGTGTTCTTCACTTCGTTAAAATAAATATTTCGTTGTCATCAGGTACAGATTGCTCTGTCCGTCGTTTGTCACGACACTGTTTTGTGCGCGTGTATGCGAAGTTACTTTTTCAGTATAACTCGAAAGTTTGCCTTTTCTTTTTGGCATTAACACTAAACAACACACGCAAAGAGTGTCGCGCATAATAGTCAAGTTTCACTCATAAAAGCACGTGCAAGCCTGATCAAATTGTTCTGTACTGACAAAATCATTTTCTTTCATTTCCTTTGACAGAGAAAGATTGATTTCAAAGGTAACCGGTAAAATTTCGCTTCAGACACGATGGGGATGATATCGACGCATCCAAACCTGATGGTCACGTCCTAAGAAACGCGCAAACGGAATGATTCGAAGGTCAAAATCAACACTATTCCGAGAGTTTTGACCAAGATTCATCGGCACTCTCGATAAGAAACGCCAATCGACGTATGTTTTGCGTACGTCTCTTACATAAATTATATCCAAGACGTTTTGATCACTCCCATGTCCATACCATCCCTCTTCGACAATTGATATTACGCGTTTGTTAGAGCCAAATTGGGTATCTTCCTGTCACAGAATGATTTTCAGATATTCTCCAGGTGTATACGAGACCTAAAGGCGATAAAACGCGCGCGTAACTCTCTTCAATTAACATCCGATCGAGACTTGGTCATTTCCGAAGGAGCAAGCAATAAATAACGTGACGTAGATCACTTCATAGGGATGGTCCCGACGTGAGAGCAGCGTGTTCGCCGTCGTGGCGCAACCGTGTCGTCCTCGCGGTGTTAAGCAACTGAGCCGTCGAGCAGCGCGGGGTTGCTCGGCTGTGCGCGACGGGTAACGAAGAAAGGAAACCCCCCCGGGGGCGGCTGGTACGAATGGTACATGCACCCACACACATAGGTACCCTTCGGCGCGCGCGGAGGGTGGTGTTTCACCCCCCACTCGCCTGGCCCTTCTCTTCTGCCGTGCCCGCAGACTCGATCCCCCACCTCCCCCGATCTTTCACCCTCCGTCCTGCGATCCCTTGCGTACCTGGGCGACAAAGGCGCCTCCGCTACTTTACGCGACGGCAGTGGCCGTCTCGTATCGCGGATTGGTCGGCTTTTTGAGACGGCCAGCCAAGTAGACATAGCCCTAGTTACCAGCAGGAAGGTGGGGTCTAGCAACGTCGACGCCTCGACATGGCTACGCCTACGGCGGGAGCGGTTCACCATGGAGAAAAGAGGGATTTTTCTCGTTCGGCAACGATCGTGAGATGCTTGGTGAGCCCGAGTGATGCGAGCCAGCCGTGAATAAACACGAGTCTGGATCATGAGGTGGTAAAGTAAGAGCTTCCCTGTGATCCCTTATATTTTTCTTCAATCTTTCTTTTATTTTGTATCATTATCCTTATGAATATTATTATTTTATTATTGATATTTAATATTATTATTATTATTATTATTATTATTATTATTTTATTACAATTTTATCGATTTTTTTGTTGCTGATGTCACAACCCACTCATCCAACCACCCACCCACCCACCTATCCACCTATCTACATGCATACATATACACACATACAATACATACACAAGTAGATCTAATTAAATTATTATTATTATTATTTCATTATTATTATAATTTTATCTTTTTTTATTGTTACAATCCATAATGTTACAACCTTTTAATGCTAGTGCTACACCCACCCACCCCCTCACATATCCTACCTACCTACCTACACATATACATACACGCGCACACGCGCACACAATACATACACATGGATCTAATTAAATTATAAATTTGCAAGTAGCTTTCAATAAATAATATTTTTGTCTTTAGATTCATTACTTCAATTAAAACAGAGAAAAAAATGGTTATCTATCTAATACATTTCTTATAATTTTTTTATATACGTTGTATAACAATTGTGAAAAGAGGAACGTCATAAATAAAATTTTAATATAACATATGACATCTAAGCAAATAATTTATTAATTTGTTGTTTGCACAGCAATCTGATAATGGTTAGATTTATTAGATTATGGATTCATGATGTGATGAAATTATTTATTTAATTAATTGATAACATGAGCTGAAAATGATGTAGATTGTATTGAATTCATTGCACTACCATTATATCATAAGCTATCGGTATTTCCAGGCAATTACAAACATGCGTTCTCTCGTTTCTATTGTTAAACAATTCATCAGTAATACTGCACAATTACGAATATCAAATGATTATAATAGATTCTATTTTAAAGGTACCTTTAATTATCAACTAATCTTTCGTGGCAAAATTCGTACCCTATTTTTTAAAACGCAACACTATTTTTTATAATAACAATTTCATTTTATTTATAAATTGTGATTTTAATTTTTATATTATGCTTTAATTACATGATGATTATAACACTTTCTGCTGTTTTATTAATCTTTATGTAATATTAACATTTATACTAAATTTTATTATTTTAAATGCGTGAAATAATTGTGCAATTACAAATAGTTTAATATAATGTTATTTATGATTAAAAGCAGAAAGTATAGTTAAATAGTATTAAAATATTGTTGTACAAATAATAAATGTTGAATAATAATTTTACAGTGTAAATGTGAAATCGTAAATACACATATATACACATACATATATACATATGTAATTTGTAAAATCAACATTTACAATTACGTATTGTTATAAAGTTGTATTTACATATATAATTTTTTAAACTCTACTTAAATAAAATCATCAACTATTATCGAGATAAAATATTACCGAGTTTAGGAAATACTAACTCTAGATATTTAGCATTGTTGAGACTTATACACATACACATTACATCTTGTGAAGAATGATTGTGGCGTTGTGAAACTGGCTTTCGTTCAGATCCTTTATTAATACTGTGGGAGTGGTCTGGGTATCGGCCAATCAGAATACGCCACTTCCAACCCTCATTGGCTGGGATACAAATCGATTTATAACTCACCCCGATGATGAACGAGTATGGATACACGCCCTTAACGCCGTTCTGCTTAAGGTCGATTCTTCTCGCAAGCCTTCAAACACCGCCAATTCAACTGTAGGAAGGTGGTGGTGGATTTGGTAGCGACAACTAACGAAAGATGGTAGGAAGGGTAGAAACTTCTGATCCCCGACGAGATTTCCGATAACATCAGACAGTATTTTTTCAAAAGTCTCCCCAACGCGGTCGACTCGTAATCAAAATTAAGCCATTTTTGAAAATGAGATTTTTCCTTCATTTTCTCATCCTGTTTTATTTTTCCTTTCTTCTCTCTATAACTCTTATAATTTTTATCTTTTTATTCCTTGTATTTTACTTATATACTTATATATTGCTTACTTATATACTACTCATATATTATTTATATATTATTATGTATATATGTGTGTGTGTTTTATTTAATATATTTTTATATTTTTCAATTTTGCTAAGATTTTTCTTACGTAGATATATAAAATGTTGTCATATTTGTTAAGATTTTTCTTACATAGATATACAAGATGTTATCATTATAAAGTTTATATTCTATTCTGTAAATTATTAATTCATAATTTATTCTTCCAAACAAAAATTGATTTTGCTTATTAGATAACTGTAAATGTATATGTATAAGACTTCAAAATTTTATATAAACGTAAATCTAATATGTCTTATATGAGATATAAACTATATAATATAAATTATATGCTAAGTAAAGAGATATATAGAATGTTTTAAAATTAAATATTTCTTTAGCAGATGTTTTGCCCAATTTGGAAATTTATTTTTCTTTAACATATCAAGAAAAGTCATTATTTATTGCAAATTTCTATTTCTTTTATTATAAACAAGCTTTTATAAGATGTAAAATTCACTTCAATAGTGAACAAAGGATATAAAATAACAAAAATAAAAAGATACAAAAATGAAAAATATTTATAAATATGTGTTCTATTTGAATTTGTACCTAAATTGTAGCCAATTTTGTACTCCAATAATGTACAGTTATATATCTTTTTAGAAAAGATCATCTAATGCAAGCCTGCAAATTTTATCATATTATAGTTTCTCAATTTTTTAATAATTTCGTATTCAATATTCATAATTCAATATTTATTGAATTTATTGGCAATTTTGTTGTATATATATAAACAGAAACGTTATCAAACAGAACATATTTTATAGAAACATAATTTTATTCATTCACTATTTTGTTACTTTTTATGCAACATTGAAAAAATCTTACATGTTATCAAATTCCTACATATTTATATTAATAATTAAATTTTAAATTAAAATTTTATTAAAATAAAGTTCATTTGAAATTAGCCGAGAAACATAGATTTCTTACTATTCTACCTCTTCAAAAGATTTTGTGTAAAAAATATTTTTCTTCAATTATAATTTACAAATTCATACCATTCTTTCTTTAAGACAAAAATCTACTTCAAATTATTCAAAAAATCTGTCATAACAAATTTGAGATACTCAAATACATATGTACATGTATGTATAAAAAAGGACAATATGCTTATAAATTATTAACAACTTATGTTTATTGCAAATTTTAATTAAAAGAAAACTATTATCTAATATATGCAATATTTATATAAAGATTTTTTAATTACAATACATTCTAATTGCATCTCTTTTGTTATAGTTTTCAGTTTTAATCTTATTATTTATACGTTTAAGAAATATAGCAAATAAATGATAACAATTACAGTACGTTGATTATAACAGCAATAAAAATATTATAATAGGTTGAATAATAATCATGTTATATGACATTTTTTCCTTATTTAATCCGAATTTAATGTTACGAGTGATATTTACATTGCGTTAAATCAACGTATGCGGAAGACGGACATCCATCTCTAATGACGTTCAAGCACAGTATTTAACGTATACGTAAATGGTTACAAAAAGCAATTGTAGCACAGCACAATAGCGCAAAGTTGAGCGCCGGGGAACGTAAATCGACGGGAATTCTGCAAGCCTCTTTGCAGCCCAAAGGAGATGTCTCGCGTCCGTAGTTTTGTTTCGTTGAAAAATCTCCGACTTCTTCATTCATTTTCTCGGTCTAAGAAAGATGTATAGAAGAGAGCTAGAGCCTCCTTCGCGACCTTCCCTTATTTGCTACTAGCAGCAAAGGATTATTGTATACTTTGCGCTGCGAAAGCACTAACTGACGGCAGGGGGAAATTTCTGCTGTTAATGCATCGTTGTTTATAGGAAGATGTTTAAATTACTACTTGAATATACTTTTGACATTTATACATATTCCTATATATATATATATATATATATATATATTATATATATATATTTATATAATAATACACACATAGGTGCGCTTCTTATCATATTATGTATTTGAAGATTATACTATATATATATATTTGAATTAAAAATTATAATATATATTACACATGTTGCTAACAAATGCAGCATAAATAATGAAGAAAGATATCAAATAAGCAATTATATGTATAAAATCAATAAAATCAAAAATATTAATATTATAATTAAAATTTTATATTTTTGATAATAGAGAAAATCCTGATGTTGTCATGTTAATTAGAAACATAAAATTATTTGTACAATTTTATCATTATATATTATAATATATAATGCTAATAAAGATAAAATACATTTTATCTTTATTAATAAAATTATTTTTTTAAATTTTATTTTTATAACTAATTTAAAAAATGGACTAACGGTAGTATTAACAGTGCTTAAGCGATGGTCTTATCTAAAATTTTGACTTTTCTAAAGTATTACGACTAATTTTACTT